TGCTTTTGCATTCCTCTTCCCTGGGAACCCTTCGGCTCTTCTCTGTACTTCCTGAGTCCCACAACCTTCTGCATCCACCGCTCCTACACTGTCGTATCACTGTCTGTTTGCTGCCTGTCTCCCACACAAACATGAACACATGCCTTAAAGAGCCCAAGCTGAATTTCAGCGTTGGCTCTGCCGTGTGTGCCCTTGGGCAGAGTTGCTTTCCTTTCTAAGCCTTCGTTTCCTCATCTGTAAAATGGGCAGAAAACAAGGTCATTCACGGGGCGCACAGTACCTGGCGAGAAGTCAGGTCCCATGTTAGCTGTCATCTTTGCATCTTTGGGGCTGGTTTTTCTAAGTTCATGTTCAGTGAAGTGGTCGCTCTGCCCTTTTCGAGTTTTCTTCTACATGAGAACCACCTGGGTCCTAAGCCCAGCGTTTTTGACCTAGTGGGTCAGGAGTGGGGCCCAATCATTTGAATTTTTACCTAGTTCTCAGGTGATGCTGATCATGATTGAGGCCGCACTGGGCCGGCCACCTGGGGAGGGTGGATGTCTGGTTAGAGTGACCGAACACTGAAAGTTAGGATAAGTTCATACCAGAGGCAACTCAATTCCCAAAGGATGTGGCCGCAGACTGTTGATCTATCAATTTATCCATGCAGCCGATATTTATTGAGAATTTACTATGTCCAGATCTGTGATTCCCAGCCCACCCCCGACAAAGATAAACTTGGTTGGTTTTTCCATGCCTATCAGCCCAGTCTTGGAAGAAGCTTAAGGAAAAATAATGTGATTGCAAAAACTTAAGTTGATGTTGCTTCAAAGCATTAAGTCACCCTCACCAGCCTTCCCTCCCAAGTCTCCACACTCAGCTAAGTAGAGGACAGTCGGCTGGACCTCTCAGTTCCCTTCCTGAGCACTGGGATAACCATAGTCCTACTTGGTGGAGCGGCCGTGAGCACGGAGGGAGATGGAGCAAGCCCAGTTTGGCCCCCTTGTTTTAGTTTTCTTCATTAAACTGACTGCTTTCTAAAAGTCAATCAACGAACACATTCTTTAACGCTTGCTAAGGCCCAACCTCCTATTTCAGCTATCAGGGAGAAGGGCCTGGCTAGAGAGTACAGGACCCCTGGTCCTGGAACTCCCCCATGTGGCCAGATTTAAACACAGACGTCCTCCTTGAGGTTAAATTAAGTAATGCGCTCTTTCAATGGCCCACATTATCAGGAAGGCAGCTGGGGGCCATTTTGTCAAGTGGGGATCCTTTGGGGAGGGGCGGAGAAGCTGTACAGGTGCAAGCCAGTCCCCTCGTAATGAAATGTAACAAAGGAAGCAATTAAATTCAGTTAGGGGCATACAGCTTTAAGTTAGATAATGCATTCAAAAACCTTCTATAAACTGTGAAGTGGGATAACCTAAGTTATTATTATTATTACCCTTATTCTGGTGAAATTGCATGGGTGTCCCTGTCTGCTCTGGCTAGTTAAAGGGCCGGAGGATGGAGAGGCTCCAAGGAGTCGCTTTCTGGGGAAGGCAAACGGAGGCGAAAGGGTTAAACTCCCCAGAAGACCAATTTATGCAAAGGGACAAATCCTGAATGCCAGTCAGGCTGGCGCTAAAGATCTGAATTACAAATGTCCCGAAGTTGTTGCTCAGTAAGTCATTCCTTTTTCTCCCTAATGGAGCAAGGCCTTTCTGCGGGCCTGGCCACTTTATTTTCACTGCGAGAGCGGACAAGATCGGGACCCCAGAAGAGCCTCATTCTACTCACCATGGGAACTGCCTTTTCAAAAGGCTTAACGGGGGACCCGGGGAGGGTGGGCACCGCGGAAGCACGGAGCCTTCCCCTCCTGTGTGTGTCTGCAAAGCACATTCTCTGCCTTTGCTCCTTGGGTGAGTTAATCATTGAAATCGCCTTCCTGCTCTGGAAGGGAGATAGGCTGGCCGACTGCATTTTTTAAAAGCTGAAGATCAATTTGGGGCTATTTGACACGAGATGCGACATTTGTCAGGTTCAGCGAGTAGAAATCGGCTCCCTCCCAGGCTCTTTGAGAAGGAGCCAGCAGGGTGTGTTTAAAGAGCCAGGGGATTCCAGCCTCTTGGAATCTAATTTACATCTGGCCTGTTTGCAAACAACCAAGGACGATCCAGCCACAGTGTGTGTGTGTGTGTGTGTGTGTGTGTGTGTGTGTGTGTGTGTGTGTGTTTAAATTTAAATCCCCGATAATTTGTTTAAAGAGCAGAGGGTGGGGATTACAATAAAACGTGACAACTCCACTTTCTTTCTCTTTTTCCTCCCTTTGGGGCATTTTGGGGGGTATGCCTCCCCTTGCCCCCAAATGATGACTTCATGAAGGACCTGAGGGGCTTCTGAGAAGAACTGCGGTGTTGAATGAATTCTTCTGTGGGTATCAGTCCAAAAGTCTCCGTCAGGTGGGACTGGAAATCGGCATCTTTTTTCGGTTTGTTTTTTGTGTTCCCAACACGCAGCCACGTCAGTTCAAGAGCTCAATTCTTGGGAAAGGCCACTTCTTCTGGCCTTTGGAGAAGGCACATTTCCGTGTGCACCTAAAAACAAATAAGTAAACAAGTAAATGAGAATGCACACTTGCGAAGGGCACCTTTGCCCCTTCCCCCCCCCCAGGTCTTAATTTCTCTTTCAGTTTCAGGCGGGTTTAAGGGCTTGGCTGTGGCTTTTTGGCAGTGCGAGGGGAGGGGCGCTCGGAGGAACTGGAGCCCCTGGGAAAGGCAGTGCCGAGAACTCTCCTGAGCTCATTCAGGGCTTTCTGCTCGTTTTCACTTGAGTTCAGCGCGAGCCATGGAAATTAGTGTTTATTGTAAGTGCTCAGGAATGGGCTCTCACCTCAAACAACAACAACAAAAAACCCCATAAAACACAAACCGCACAAAACTCAAGAATGCAATTTTAACTCGCTTCTTAACTACAGCTGGGTACGGAGTCCCCCACATAAGTCAGCTCTGCCTTCTATGTTCAGCCTTAGAAAAACTAACACACAAGCACGTTCATGAAAAGATTGCTCTCTTTTTTGGCTGGGAGGATGGGGAACCAGTCACAGAAACTGTTGGCATGCTTTGCAGGGAAATTCTCGGCAAAGTACCTCTTTAAAAATTTTTAAAAATTTCTTTCTGGGGAGATGAGGGATGGGAGGGCTCCTTCTGTGTTAGTGACTCAGTTCCCCCTGAGGTTATTTCTCATCGGGGCCAAAAGCCCCTGTGCCCAGTGAGGTGAAACTTGCAAATGATATTGCCACCTTGCCTCATGGACTGCTGTGGGCCCAGGCCATCCCCCTGGTGTGTTGAGACAAAGAAGTAACCAGCTGTCTGGTTCCCTAGAATCTCCTCAAGCTCTGGGACGGCAATGGCCCATAGCTGAGGGAAGGTCACCCCTCACCAGGGCTTCCCCAAAGGGCTTTGTCCTGATTTGTGCCAAGTTAAGCATTTGGACCTGAAGCGGCCTGAGGTCATTCTCAAGTGGGTGAGTCAGAGACACTGAGTAATCTCCGGGTTCAGGCAGGGGCCTGATAAACTAGCTCAGCTGCCCGGGAAACGCCTCTGGTCTTTATATGAAACCCAGCATCCAGCAGGCCCTGGCAGCCAAGGGCCCCTCACCGGATTTTTAGAGGTATCTCTCCCCCCGCCACCTTTTTCCAAACACATTTTTTAAATGCCTTGTGGCCAAAGCCATGGTTTTATTTGCCTTAAGTGCAGACTTAGGAGAATATATTCAATTTATTTTTGATCAATGTGTGATAGATCACAGGTGATGGATTTGTACTAGCCGCTGAGTGTGTATGTCTGTCTGTTACAGCAGGTATTTGTGTGTGATGTGAATGTGTGCATGTATTTCTCTACTCCTGTCTGCATTTATGTTTCTGTGTATAAATGTGGACACGTATGCATCAACGCCTGTCCGCACTTACGTGTGCATGTACAAATGTGAATCTGTATGCATGTGTCTGTAGCGGACACACCCACGCTGCGGACATTCCCTGGCTGCTAAGAGATCCCAGCTTCCCAGCGCACTGGAAGCAGCTTGCCCTTCCCACCACTTCGAAGGGTGGCCCCTGACTCACCCACAAGGGTACAGACGCCTGCCCCCTTGGCTCAAGGAAGCACCAGCTGAGGGGTGCAATTCATGCGGCAGATCCCCTGGGGATTAGGCGACTCCACCCCAGCTGAGCCCAATCTCTGCTCAGCCCCTTCCCGGCCTTGTTCTCTTCCTCCCTTTCCTCTGCGACCCTCCCTCGGTAATTTTACAGACATTGGAATGAACCCCTGTCTCAGGCTCTGCTCTGGGCAGCCTGGTCCCAGACAGCACTTTTCATATAGGTGTGCGCTTAAAGGCAAACGTCCCTGTGCACACTTTAGTATTCGTGTGTGCCCATGTCCTGAGAAGACTCAGAGGGGCTGGGAGAGAAGACAAGCTGGAGGAAGAGCATGGATTTTTATTTTATTTCATTTTTTAACTGGGGAAGATAAAGGCATCTCAGACATAGGATATGAGAGACCTGCTTTAAAAGTGGAAAATTAAAAGATGCTTTCGATGTAAATGTATTTTTTTATTAAATCAGAGAAAGATACAAGGTACATGATATCTGTCAATCATATGCTACTTTTGAAGTACATTTTAATAGACCCATGGTCCGATTTACTCCTCTGTACAAGTATTAAAAAAAAACCTCAGGTATTTGAATAATCTTCTGTAAATTTTTATTAACTGGGGTTATGGGGCGGGTTTTATCAGAGCACATCCTGAGAACATTAGGAAATTACAGACAGACTTGAGATAAGTGTCAGACAGAACAGATGAGGCAAGCCCCCGGCCATCTGAGAAACATTAATAATGTAAGATCACAGGAGACCACATCTTGGTTAGGGACACCGGATTCAGGATTAAAATGGAGCCCCGGGCGCCCCCTTGTGTTGCAAAGTAAACTTGCAGCTTCATTTATGACATTTGTTTTGTTTTGTTTGGGAAGCTGTAACCCTCAAGAAAGCAATTGTTTTCCCAAATCGGTTCAAGCCCTCTCGTCAATAACTTTCAAGGACCCTATTTGAGAAACAACTCCTACTCATTCCTTTTTTCATTCTGCCTACACTCCACTCCAGGAAACTGGCAACTTCCCAGTAGGGAGCCCATGTCTTCCCTCCTTGAAATGGGAACTTAAACAGATTTTATAGTCCCTCCTCTTCACGTGGAGCGAATGAGCTTGCGTTTTCACTGCCAAGCTTAATTCCTCCCAGCAGCCACTTCTTTCCTGCAACTTACTTGCTCCTGCCATTTCCCATAACTTCACCAGAAAATGCATTCCTCCCCCCACTCCACCCCCCACCATCGACTCTGCTGACCTGACTGGTCAACCTGCTACATCACCCTTGCAATTATTTACCAGGACAGGTTGGACCAGAAACGTAAATAATACACCTCAATATACAACAGCCCAGGCTTAGTTTGGAGGCAGAATTTCATTCGATGGCCATCAGGAGGAAACATATATACATGGAGTGGGCGGGGGGGGGGCACGGGCAGGGAGGAGGCATCTCGGTGGCAGGAGGACTTGGTGGGAACTGTGGTCATTTGTTTACTTGGATTTGCCAACTGGTCCAATGGATACGGGGTCTGTCTGCACTTGAGCGTCCAACATCCGCTTTGGTCCCTGGAGAGAAACAAAGCAGTATTTCCTAATGAAGAGCTGTAATATCAATTAGCCACAACTGCCATTTATTTAGCACTTACTCTGTGCCCAGAGCTGTGCTCAGTAAATACACCTTGCTTGCCGGTGGTAGGTAAGAGAACGGTCTCCCAGCAGAAGCCCAAGCCTGGTTACGTTACGTACTTTCTGACCAGTGCCTGGTTATGTACTTTCGAGCTCTCTGCAGTTTTGGATGACTAGCTTGAGCTTCAGTCGGTGTCTTCATCTTTAAAATGGGGGCGACACACCTCCTCTGGGAGAGTTGTTTGGGGATAAACTGAGTTTGTGCTTGTACTGCACTTAGGACAGTGATGGGGGTGCAAAGTCCCTCCACAATGACAGCCCACAGCAGTCACCCTCTCTGATGACTTTCTGACCACACGGCTCTGCTTCCTTGTCTTACAAAACCTACCACGTGTGAAGCGATGTGATCTAAGGTCTCTCTTCACCCGAACGAAAGCCCCGAGCATTGTCTGCTGTCCCCTCCCTGGTGCCCAGCAAGGGCCTGGCGCAGAGTAGCTGTTAACTGAATGTGGTTGAATAAATGCCAGGAGTCAAGTACTATTATTACTGTTTTGTTGTTATTTAACCTTTCTCTGTCATTTTACAGACAGTAAAATTAACCCTTTTTTGCCCAGAGCTCTATGACCTTAGACCAACATGTAAATAGTTACGTGACCACCGCCAAAATCAAAATGTGGAGCAGTTGAATCTCTCCCCAACCCCCAGACCCCCCTGTAGTCAGCCCTGCCCCTGGCCACGACCCTGGCCACCGTACATTGTTCGCCCTTCCCAGACATTTTCCTCCCTCGGGGCGCCATAGCAACGGGATCACAGAGGGTGGCTTTGAGCCTAGCTCCTTTCTTGTGGGTTTGAGACTTACCTGCCTTGCTGCATGCATCAGGGGCTCAGTTACTGTTGGCCCTGTTTTACAGTTCAGCGAATACAGTGGAGGGTGGTACAGTATAATACGGGCCAGTATGTACAGTAGAGAACATGTATAGTGCAGGCAGTCCACACAGGAAAGTTTCTATAGTAAAGCACTAATAGTATAGCATAGTATGATATATAGATACTATACATTATATAATAATAGAACACGATATTATTGTATAATGATATATTATACAAATTATATAATACATGATAATACACTATAGATAGTGTTGTGTAGTATAATGTAGTACAGCACAGTATAACATAGGACGGTGTATACAGAATAGTTTATGTCTGTATCTATCCAGCTATACATAAATCCAGTATGGGGAGTAGAGCACGGAGCATAGGAAATATACTACAGGATAGTAGGACCACAGTATGTTCCCTGTAGAATAGGAAACATGTGTAGGGTGGCATCGCACAGCATAGTATGTACAGAAATGGGACGAGTAGGCTACAGTTGTCTGTGTAGAGAATAACACCATAGTTAATAAATGACACAAGAATACTGTGTTGCACATACAGTTGTAAACCTCCTTTTGCCCACCCGTGTCTGGCATATACAGTGTGCAGTATGCGGAGTAGGTGACTCTATGGTGAAGGGTATATAACCTAGTGTACACAATACTGTCATGTAATACCATGCAGCAGAGCAGTGTATACATAGTATAGGCTGGAATAGGATCATATATAGTATGGTATATACATGTATCGAGCCCCTACTGTATGTAATAGTGCCCTGTTAGTCTCTGGGGCAGAGACCAGGACACGTGCCGTGTTGGACGGGAGGCCCCAGGGCTGTGAGCTCTGAACGTTTCTGGAACGCCGCCCTCCCCACGCTATACACCGCCCAGGGCACTGCAGCTTGGCAGGTAATGGTTCGACCCGAACTCTGGGCAAACACTCAAATAACAAACAAACAAGCACAAATGCATGGTTGCCTTGGAAATGACTGAGGGAAGCATGATTAGGGTCCGCACTCCGCCAGGAGCTAGAGCCCCTGGGGACTCAGCTGTAGGCTAGGATTCACCTTCCCCAGGAGTCTCCAGTTGTGACTGTGGGCGCTGTCTCATGTTGGGGTTCTACCAGATGCTCAAGGGCACAGAGACTAGACAGTGACAGGATGTCATCAGTCACAGAACTTGACTCTTGGGGTCTGACGTCCCTCACTTCTAACAGGATTTCCGGAGATGCTGTTCTGAAGTCCAAACTTGGGCCAGAGGAACCATCGCCCTCACCTTCCTCTGCCTCCTGGGTATTCGTGGGGTGGAATGATTATGAACGACCAGGTATGTTTGGGGCGGTGTGCTTCACCTACCTGCGCTGACTTTACGGCAGCACGAAGGTGGACCCCCGTTTGTTGGTGCCACGACAGGTGCCTGTGTCATCTCTTTGCCTTGCTCTCCTCGCTCCACCCACACTCCCCTGCCTCCTAGGTCTGATTTCACGTGTTTCTCTTCCTCATTTATGCATGGTCACCTTATCTTCTGAGTACTGACTCTTCAGACATTTCTCAGTTGCCAGGATTTACATTTCCCCAAACATAATGAGACATTTCCTAGTGTCCTGTTTTATTTCATCCATCCATCCATCCATCCATCCATCCTCCTCTTTCCATCCATCTCTCCTCCTTTATCCACCTCTTTCCTCCTCCATCCATCTTTCTATCCATCCATCTCATCCATCCATCCATCATCCATCCATTTATCCATCCATCCATCCATCTTTCCATCCATCCATCCATCCATCCATCCATCCATCCATCCATCCATCCATCCATCCATCTTTCCATCCATCCATCCATCTTTCCATCCATCCATCCATCCATCCATCCATCCATCCATCCATCCATCCATCCATCCATCCATCTTTCCATCTATCCATCTTTCCATCCATCCATCCATCTTTCCATCCATCCATCCATCTTTCCATCCATCCATCCATCCATCCATCCATCCATCCATCCATCCATCCATCCATCCATCCATCCTTCCTTCCATCCATCCATCCATCCATCCATCCATCCATCCATCCATCCATCCATCTATCTATCCTTCCATCCATCCATCCATCCAGCTATCCAGCAAACACTTACGGAGCATCAGCTACATTCTAGCCACAACACTGGGGAAGACAGCACATCTGCCCATTATGGGTAAGGTCACTACCCTCCCAAAGCCCCATCAATCATCTGGAGTGAGGGAGCAAAGAACCAAATAGAAGTAAAGAACGCAAAGGCTGATTAATTAATTAATGTCTGACCTGCACTCACCCCTGCCTGGGCTTCCCTGGAGGGAAGGAACAGCGTCTCGGTCACCTCTGTATACCCAGCCCGCAGGGTCAGGGTTAGAGCACTTTCCCTGGTTTAAATTCTTCAAGACTCCCCTTGGCCACAGACAAACGTCCATGCTTTTCGTCACCCCCTGTCCCCGCCGATATCTCCTCATCCTTGCTCCCTCCGTCCTAGACAGACTGATCTTCAGTGCTCTGCTGCCTCCCTGGCACATGGTGGCACCTGCCGTCCCTCTGCCTGGAACACATTCTGCCTTCAGCGGCTGCTCTCAAATCCAAGTCCAGGCCATGTCCTCACCCCCAGGCTCCCTACACACTTGCCCTCTACCTCCTAGCTCTTCCCAGACTCAGCGCCCCTGCCCCATCACCCCTGCCCCAACTGTCGCCTCCAGGCAGCAAAGCCTCTGTCCACCTGCCCTCTGCGCCTAGCGCAGTGCCTGGCACACAGCAAGTGCCCGATCAATATTGTTTGACAACCATCTGGCCAGCCCCTAGCCAATTGGTCCCCTCCCTGGAGGTGGGAATCACACTCCTGGCCCAACAGCCCAGAAAGAAATGCCGAAGGTTCACCTACCAGGCCCTTGAAGAAGCCCCCGAGGGACTGTCGCCGCTTCTCGGGTCTCCTCTGGGGCTTGTCCCCATTCTGCAGCGCGCTGGCCTCGGCCCGGGCGGCCTCTGCGCATGCGCATGCACACGGGGCCGGCTCTTTGGCTTCCTGCTTGTTGTTCCTCTGCTTGTGGGTCTCGGCCGGCGTCTTCTTGTCCTTCGTGGAGCCCTCTTTGCCCTTCTGGCTTGTTCCGGCCCCTGGCTCCGGCTCTGCTGGCCCGATCGCTCTCTCCGAGGAGTCGGATGTCTGCAGCAAGTGCAAACAAAATGCGTCTTAGGGGCTGCAAGACAACCCTCAACAGTGGGTGGCTACATGTGTTAGAACAGAGGTGTTCAAGGTGGGGTGGGGTGTCTACGTTTTCAGGAGTCCTGGGTGAAATGAAGGAAAAAAAAAGGAAAAAGAAAAATGCTTGAATACTTATTATGGTACAGGGTCAAGTAGGGGACATTATTTATTCATCGAATCATTTGTTAATAACTTCATGCCTTCCTAGAGGGCATTCTTCCTCCTTCTGGTACCGGAACCCTGGTTTTCCTTGGGGAACCACGATTCTCTCTCATCTATTCCTTGAAATTTAGGGAAAGTGATTATTGTCGCCCTGGCAGGAACACATGACTCAGGCCTGGACCATCAGAACACTGCATGTGATCGGGCTGCTGTGGTTTGTTCAGGATGGCTAACAGATTAAAAACTGAGCTATTCTCAGAGCTTTTTCTAAAACAACCATGAGAGAGTTATCCTTTTCTGTTGGGTTTAAAGATAAAAGTCTGGAAATTCCAGAGGCCCTGCCATTTCCTGGAAAAAAATCTGCTCTATAAGTTAGCTAACACAGAGAAAAGCTGAGAGATGAAGAGAGAGAGCGAGAGCAAGAGCCTGCACACTGACGGCATGAGCCATTCAAAAGTGCTCCTGGATCTATCTGTTCCTGAAGCCCACCATGCTTGCACCAATATTGAGAGGGTCTCTTCTTTTGCAACCACATGTGACTTTTTTCTTGGGGATAACTTTACTTTATGTTTATCTTGATTTCTGGTGTGGATTTGTCCTTCTGCTTCATGAAACAGTGATAAAGAAGATTATTGTTTTATTTTTAGTTTTGAACTCATATCCTTTCACGTCAAAGTGAAAAGTTTACAATCCTACTTGGTTCCTACAATTGGGAGGGACGAGGCTTTAAAATCCAAAATTCTAGAAAGTGCTGGGCAAATTACAGATAATGGAAAAATCGATGAGCCCTTTTCCCACAATTTACTTGAACTGAAATGCCTATAGGGGCCAGACAGATAAAATAAAGCCCTGACTGAGGCGAGGGATAAGAGTAATCTCATGGAAACCTTATTCCCCAAGTTGTGAAACCAGCACAGGGCCAAGGAAATATTTCTCTAGTTCAAGCAACGCTGTCTTTGATGTTAGGGATACAGTTTGGAGTAGTGGGGACTGCGGTGAACTGACTGACGCATGCCCCGTCTAAACAGTTGCTCGAACCCAGCTGAGAGGCACCGCGTGGGACTGCAGCCCAGTGTTGTCAGACCTGTTCTTGTCCATGGAGACTTCAAATTGCAATTTGTAAATGGGGACTGTGTCCATTCTTAAATATTGACTTCTAAAGTTTTAAGGCCCTATTCATGGTAAACAACCACCGCACAAGTGCCCCTGTGGGCCACCTTTGACCTGCTGGACACGCGCTTACAGCCTCGGATTCGTACAGAATGTACGGTCCCCAGGTCCAGAAATCCCACGACAAAGTGGCAGTTTCATTGAGAAGGCGGCAACCGGAGAACTGTCACTCACACCTGTGGATTAAGCACACCCCTCAGAGGGAGGTGAGAAGACAGGGAACGCTCTGGGTGGGAGGTCTCTGCAGGCTGCAGCCCCCTGCGGGGCAGAACTCCTCGTGGGAAGCAGCAGACGGCCAGTGCATGGGAGAAGCTATTCTGTAACCACTTGTTGCGAATGTTTCTGCCGGGTCCCAGCTGCCTAAGTGGTAGCAAATGCCAAGATACAGATGTTCAAGTACAATGGTCAGCCCTGAGCAGATACTCGTCTCCAAATGAGCCCCCCACCACCATGCTCTTCAGTAGGGCCAGAAACCAGTGACCCTGCTCAAACAGCTTGTTAACTGCGTTTGACGCATGGAAAATTTTAAGATGCGGTAAGTAGTGAAGAACTTAGCATCTGGTTCTAGTGTTGTCCCATCTTTGCTGTGTGGACTAGAATAAACTTCCATCTCTCGGCTTCCTCACTGGTGTGGGGATGAGTAAAGGTCTCATACCTCAAGGCAATGTAAACACCTGTGTGACACTGTGTCGGGCCCATGTGGAGTGCCAACCGTGAGGACACCCATCGTCCTGGTTGGTCTGAGAGCGAGAGGGTCCGGGACACTGAACTTACAGGTTTAAAACCAGGAAAGTCCCGGGCACATGGGTTGCCCTGGTTTAATGTCCCCAGAGGTGACTCTTCCAGAGAGACTGCGTGGACCTGTGTGCCAAATGCAGATTGGGACACTCAGGAAATCCTTGTGGAATTGAGCCCCTCTGTGACATTCTGGTCAGGACTTAAAGGACAGGAAGGAGTTTTCCGCGTGGAGAAGAGGGGGCTCTGTAATAAGAAACAGCTGAGGAGCTCGGGCTTGTCCATGTTCTGTATCTGCAGAGCCCGAGTGAGTGCCGGGCAGCCAGTGGGCACGCAACCCAGAGAGCTGGCGTGGTTGAGTCCTGCGTTGGAAATGAGGCTGGACAGAACTGAGAGCGTGCTGGCTAAACCCACCACCGAACCGAGTGTACAGGTCACTTACTTGGTAGCTGGAGTCTTTCCCATTTATTTCTTCTGAGTGGGTGGTCCCTCCATTCCCTCTCACTGACTAAAATAACAAACAGACAACGGCCTTTCAGCTACCATAGGCACAGCAAAAATGAAGACTACAAAGGAAGTTCTGATACAGGTGGCCGTGGTCACTTGTCATTGAGGTTCTGATCAAGACAAATGGAGGATGGCATGGAAGTGGACTGTTTATGAGGTAGACAATCTCCACGCAGTGTGCACCCAGAGTCTCATTAAATTCGAGTGTTGGCCTCCGGAAATAACATCGACAAAAATCTTAAACTGCAGGGTTAGGTAATTCTGGGGTAAATAAATGACGATGAAAATACCAATGTGGGAACCAGGAGGTGTCTGAACATATTGAATGAATGAATTGGTGAACAAACAGGTGGTCAAAACGTACAAGCGTCTGGTGGTAAGAGATAAATAAGTTGCCAGGTGTCCAGTTGTAAGATAAGTAAGTACCAGGAATGGAATGTACAACAGTTCCCACTGTATGGGAACATTGTGGAAAAGTCCTCAGAATTCTCATTACGAGAAGAAACATTCCCCTCCCCCCCATTTCTTTTTATTGTAGCTGTATGAGAGGATTTCTTTTCATTGTAGCTGTTAGCTAAACTTGGTGTGGTGATCACTGCACAAGGTCTGTAAGTCAAGCCTTTATGCCGTACACCTGAGACTCATACAGCGCTATATGTCAATTACATCTAAAAAAAAAACTGGAAAAAATGGATGACTAAATTAAACCCCTGGTAGCCTTCCACTGGGGACATTTAGTGGCCTTTCCTTCTTTCCCTCCTTCCTCATTCCTTCTCTCCTCCCTCCCTCTCTCCTTCCCTCTGGGCAGAGCTCTCTTTCAGAGACAGATTAGGCTACTTCCTGCTGGGATCTGTATTAAAAGGGCGATAACCACAGAAACTTATCTTTTGCAGCTGTCAGAAATAGCGGCGTTCCTGTTTAAAGAGACTGAAATTCTCCCAGAGACACGTCTTTGGAAGAAGAGTCTAGAGGCTGTGAAGTAATTGTGGTGATTTTCCAACGTGATACTGAGCAGCTTTCTGCACGGGGTTAATCTTTGTCCCCGAGCATCACAGGGGAAGCAGGTCGGGACATCGGGCCTGTGCGGGCAGATGGGGCCAGGATGTGACACCCAAGCTTTGCATATTAATGACGTCATCTTCTATTTCTTTTCTTGGGTCATGCATTCCTACAGCTTGACACCCTGAGGAATGTTGGAACCATCTCCAATGCATATGCCTCCTAGATACTCAAAATTCTAGTGGAGGTGTCTGCTGGTCGGTTCACGTTTTCTTGGAAGGAATGAAAATGTATTTTGATTTATGCGTCAACCCGACTTGGCCACGGGGTGCCCAGACATTCTGTTAAATGTTATTTCGGGTGTGTCCGTGAGATTGTTTCTGGATGAGATTAACATTTTAATTGGCAAACTGAATAAAATAGATTGTCCTAGTCAACGTGGATGTCCCTTATCCAGTTTACTGAAAGCCCAAATAGAATAAAAGGCTGAATAAGAGGGAAAAAAAAGAAAATGTATTTGGATGGGGATCTAGTGCAACTGAAGGCGAGGTTCACAAGAATAATTGGGGCGCAATGTTAGTTTAGTGTGAGTACGTCAGCATCAGTGTTTGCTAGATCAGCCTCATCCCATGAATTCAGGGAACTGGACCGGCTAGGAATTTCCAGGATAAACAAAAGCTAGGAGTCTAGACTTTGTGTTTTACCAAGACGCTCACTTGAAATGAAATTGGACAATTCAGGCAGAAGTACACAGAGGAGGTAAGTCTCGTTTGAGTGACAAGGACCTTCAGAACACTGGCCAAGCTTCATGTCAGTGTCAGGTTAATTCCTTTCCTGTGCCTTGTCATTTCAAGTAAGGGAATATCAGGTTGGCCCAAGACATAAGAATGATGTTTGCACAGGAAACTCGACTAAGGAGCCACCGAAATGGAGCTTGGGTTGTTCTGTCTCCATTGGTACTCAAAGAAAACCAGCCCCCAGGAGCACAGGAAGCTGAAATTCCATAAGAGAACATGGAAGGGGTGGGGCTTTGGAATCAACAAAAGCTTGAGTTTGGCTTTGCCAGTCGGCAGCTCTGTGACCTTGGGCAGATGGCCTAGACCCTGAGTCTCCCTGCCCCCACCCGTGCAGCAGGGTGGCAGGAGTGTTCTGTTAGAGGGTTTCCATATTAATCAGTGGGTTGATACACATGCTGTGTTTATTAGCACAGTGCCAGCCATGCCATTTGCATGCAATGAATAAGTGGTAGCTATTATCATTATTACTATTAATAACTGAGAAGGCAGATTCCCCTTTAAGGGGAGAAAGGAATGCAAGGCGCTGGTGAGGACAGAAATCGCCCAAACAAAAGCTGCTTTCAGAAACCCTTCCTTAGAGAGCAGCTCGGTATTCCTATGTCATACTCAGGGGAGAATTAGAGATGGAGAACTTTGGCTAGAAAACTCCTGTTTTATAACTACCATTACAACCCTCTGTCTTTGTTTACTGCCAGATAGTGTAAATTTCAACAGGCTTTCTTAGACGTATTAGATTGACTGCAATCAACAAAAAACTCTTGATTTCAAATCCTCATTTGGGCCTTTGCTTTGCTCGATATCGAAGCCCACCGCTGTCTTCCTCGCCTAATGGAGTTTCTTACGAAACTCATGGTGTAAGGAGAATGGAGGAGGATTAAAGTTAACGTGTGTGGCCCTAGTTCGGAGGAGGAAAGCACCTTCACAGTACAAGGTGCTATTAATAGTGACAAATGGTAAGTCCGCGTCTCCACATTCCTATCTAGCGCCTTTATGAGCTCATCTGCCTACCTGTGTTGTGGGGACGCGAGCACAGCCCTCTGCCCCCTCGCTTAATAAAAATACACTCACGCTTCCACTCTCCAATCTCTTGACACACAGTTGAATTAATGCACAGAGGAATCCTTTTTAATTTAGGGCAGGACAGATGTCGTAGCTGTTCCTTGCAATGATCGTGAAAATCTGCAGGAGCCCACAGGGTTTTTGTGGTCTATCTGCGCCGAGTGTGACAAAATGGCTTGTGTGATGCTATTTTCTCTTCCCTGAAATGAAATGACTGGAAACAAGGATCTCCTTCCTCTTTTTACTTTTATGAGGTTAGTTTCTGGGATGGAAAAGCTCCCTTTCGAAATGAACAGGGCAATGCATTTATTAAAAATAACCACTCAGCCAAGAGTTACTTCGTGGTGGGGTGGGAAACGCAATAGGTGAGGGAAACCTGGGGAGGCAGAGACTGGAAGGTAGGGAATCAGTGATCTGGTGAATGGGACACAGATCGCAGAACAAGGGGGATGCAGTTACAATGGAGTTGTCTCTTCTATCAAATCAACGATTTTTAAAAAACTATATTTTGTAACAATACCTAAGATCAGTGGAAACATTCTCTTACTTTGCTCCACAAACAAACAAACAAACAAACAAACAGCCCATAGTGATGGACTAGGTCCTGTCTCTATTTTCAAGCCCTTAAACCAGTTATTTCCCCCTTCCTGCATCAATACAAAGACTTTAGATTAGTTTGGAGGCCGTGAAATGTAACCCGAATGTCTTTCCTCAAATTAATTGCTGGAGCTGACGTCCAGGAGTCTACACTAAGGGGATATGAACAGAGATGCATAAAAGCAGGGGTGCAAGGGGGCTCCTGCAGGTGAGTTTAGCAGTCAGGGTCTTGTGTGGAAGGCACACGGGCGTGCTCACTGAATATGGTGGGGAGTTAAACATAAACGTCTGGTTTCTGCATTGGGCTTTATTCTCCGTGAGGACAAGAACCAGGTCTGTTTATGCTCACTGCTGTATCGCTAGTGCCTGGAATAAAATGGGCACTCAGTAATTATTTGTTCAATAAGGGAATGAATGAAATGCAACAAGTTGGAAACAAACCAATTGCCCATGAATAGAGCCAATGGCGAATCAGAGAATGATAAATCCGGACAATGTGATTCGATGAAGTTGTTACAAAGAATGAGGTGGCTCTGTAGCAGGGGTTGCAAACTCAAATACCCACAGGGATAGGGCCAGGAACATAAATGAATAGGCTGGGCCCGGTGTGACAATAGGGAGTAGTGGGGATTGTGGTAAAACTGGAAAGCCAAGTCTTCCATGGATTCGAATTAAGCACGATAGTAATATAATGTTTTAGTGACAACAAAACAGAATGCGTGACAAGGATCACTAGGATATCTGGAATTTTAGGGGAAACCCCAATAATAGTGGGAATGTTGGCGTTTACACATTGAAAGAGACCACGTTCAAGCTCCCAGGCCCTTGTATTGGGCCATAGGAACAATGGCCGATGGGAGACCTGACAGTAAGAATCCACTGAAGTCTGCTGTGGAAAAAATGGGTCCTTTCCTACCTCTCTCCCCAGCCCATGGAGTATCAGTCCCAAAGGCCTTTGCTCCCCAGTTTGGTTTCCCTAACAGTTCAGACTTACCCAGTTTCCACTGCTAGAAAATATCACCAGGCAACAGCTAATGGGTAGCTCTGCAGGGTGAATTGAAGTGATGTGGGGGCTCATTAGAATGTAGGGGTGGTTTATACGTCTCTCACGATTTATTTGGAGTCTCTCGCATTTTCCTCTCCTTTACATGAAAAGTATCATGTTGGTTATTTCGAAGCGACAGTCATTCTGCTATTGTATCTCTGAACCCTACTCAAAAACAGGATAGCTGCATCCCATTCAGTGCCACGAATTTAGGGATCCCATGTGTTATGTAGGTGGGTTTCCAGAATCAGGCCCAGTGTTGCTTTCCTCCCTGACATCGGGCACATGTTGGCTTCAAAAAATCTCAAATCCTGATTCCCACGTTCAGTGCCAAATTGCAGAGTCAGTGGCCAGGAATAGAGATGGGGTTCCAGGCACACAGGCTGCCCACTCCGTACCCCACGTACCCTACTCCATGGGGACCCCACAGCGAGAGGAAAGGATGCCTGTCTACGATGTCTCACGGAGTTATCTCTAACATGTCTCAACTCCCACTGGCCAGGGTGTTGTGTTCGGTTCGGATTTGTGGACCAGGGAGGATTCCTTAACAGGTTGGGCCCGTGCAATTAGAGTTGCTCTCTCAAAGGATTAAATTCCCCAACACTCCTGAAAACAAAGGCCCACTGTAATGAAATTCTTGTTTTTCATTAAAAGAGAATTAAACCGATGACCTTTCCTATGCATGTTGGGGGAGGCCATATTACCCTGAACACGCCGATCTCGTCCTACGTGCTTTTGGGTTTTGTCTTCTGACTGATTCGGGTTTTAGTTCACTGTATTACTGAAGTTCTTGGATCTTTAGATAATTAATATGTGTGACTCTTCTTCATAGACCCCATACGATGTCTTTCCCACATTCTTTCCATTCTAGATAAACTAAAACCACAGCAAATTCACCCACTAAATTATAATATCCATTATTAGGAAGTTAGGTTCTCGTTTCCTTATTTTAATGATTTACAGGCCAGCGTTGTCTAAGTTGGTGACACTTCCAACATCAATATGCAACTTCAACTATTTATTCCTTAATCCTTTAAAAATGCCTATGTTCTTTTTGCCCCTAAATGTATTTTCAAAGGAAACTGCCTATAATTGCCAGAATAAGAAAAACAGTATTATTTGCTCCATGCATGGGGACTCTTTAAAAAAAAAGAAAACAGAAAGTAGGCAACAACATTGACCTCTAGGTGCACACCACCGTCAGCCCACACTTGGGGCCCAGGGCCAGCCCCGTATTTGTTAAAAAAGGCGTTAGTAGAAGTTAATGAAAGGTCATGATATATTAGCAATGAACTGAGACTTTCTGTATGATTGAATCCGAAGTGCAACAGGGAATTTTCTCGCTGCCCCACCCCTATGCATCTATACCATCTACAATCATATCTCACACGCGCGTGACACGGGGCTTTACTCTCAGAAGCTGTGCCGGCTTTGCCCGTTGTTTTGTAGCGGAAGCAAGGGGCTTACCATTTGTCTGAGAAACGCCATCAGGGGGGTTCTCGGCGGTTTGCGTTCTTCTCTTCTGAGTGTGACTTCCGTGGGTTCAGGGCTGGCCTCTCCCTCTTCGCTGAGATCCACCGTTTGTAGGGCTGAGTCCACTTCCTCAGACTTTATAGCCTCTACTGGTGATTCACACACCACCTGGATTGTTTTGCCAGGTAATAAGACAGTGAAAAAAAATTCCCCCCAACCCTGTTTTATAAAGTCCTGGTTGGCCCCTGGTGCACCTGGTGAAGACAGGTTGGAATCTATGACCATTTCCACGGAGGCACAACCGCGTCTTCAGGAAGCAGCACTCTCAGCTGCCAGACAGACGGACTTAGAGGCAAACTCCCTGCCCCACGAATGTGGGGCTTACACAGGAAGTCGTTTTTTGGGACTGCCCTTCAGAGCATGCTCAAAACTCCTTCCATCTAGAAGGCCCACCCCTACGGTCCTCGTAAAGGTGAATTACACCTGGCCTGCGTACAGATCAGGGTGATCATTCCCCTAGGGGTCCAACTTTAGAGATGGTAACCATGACAACCTTCATTCCACATCTTAGGCCCCCGAGACTGCGGAGAGACTGTCCTCCACGCAGAAAGGATAATGTGAAAGCCACTCCATGGATAGAGAGGCTCCTCATTAACTCCTTCCCGCCGCACCCCAGACCAGTCATTTGCCCTTGTTGCTTGACTGAATGAAGTTCATGCTTTCAGAAGAGAAATGAACTTGGCACGAAAACGCTGGCTAAGTTGCTTATGGGCCCCAGCAGAGTGTCCAGTGAGCTCAGTGTCCCTTGAACGTCTGTGGTGGGAGAGCGGGGCAGCCATAGGACCCAGCGGAGGTCTGATTCACCTGCCCTCTGGTCCCCACACGGATTCTTTTGCATGGCCTCGGTCTGGGCCAGGTTCTGCAGTTGCTTCGGCCCCCGCAATGGGACAGGCTTAATGGGCCCAGAGAGGGTTTCCTAATTGTTTGTTAGTTTGTTTCCTCTGGCAGGGATTGGGGAACCACTACCAAATCCATCCCCGAATCTGTTTGGGGTTTAATTCAACCACATTTCTGAAAAGTGAACTTCAGCTGCAAGGGCCCCAGGGTGAGCCCAAAAGGCAGGCAGCCGACATAGTGATTAGGGGCATAGCTTCTAGCACCAGCCTGCTTGGGTCTAAATCTCAGCTCTGCCCCCACAGGGGCTTTAAGTCAGTCAAGGTCCCCATTCAATGGGGCTATGCTTGTATTTTCTCATTTTTCAATGGGAACAGCATATACATTGGAAAGCTGTTTCCAGAATCGAATCAGGCAACGCGTATAAAGTTCCTAGAATGGTGCCTGGTACACAGGAAACTCTTAGTTAATGCTACTGCTTGTTATTGGGCTGTTATGAGTGGTATTGCACTCTATGGGCATGGCTCATCTGGGACCACCCAGCTCGCCTGTGCACTATTTAGGGATGATATTAATGACTAATAACGAATGTTATCGCGCAAGGTAGTTCTAATATACAACCTCAGTAAATAGTTTCAGAGGTAAGAGCAGATAACATCTCTCTGACTACAGATAAGGAATCTGAATCGTTGAATGACCAGACAAAGTCACACCTTGGGTAAGGAGCCATTTCAATGAGGGTGACGTTGTCTACCAGTAACTGAATATCAAATAGTGACCTGATCAATAATGATATGGAACAGAATGTTTCAAAGTTGGAAGTTCTGGGATGGGTTTCATATGGCTTTAGAATCCACACTTTCTTTAAGAACCTGGGTACTTTCTATCCTTTGGCTCTGCCATCCTCAGTGTGCTGGATTTGGATCCTTTTATTTGCTACCTCATGGATATAAAGTAGCTGCTGCAGGACCAGGCATCACATCCTTCACCCAATGTCCTAAGAAGGAAGGAAGATCACAGCAAAGATTTGTTCCAAATGAATTCCTGTGCTTTAGTCCCCTACCTCAGGGTACAGTTCATGGGCCAAAAGTAGGTCACATTTTTACTCCTAGGCTAATTACTGGTAAAGAAAATGGAATTATTGGCTTAGACTAATCCCAATCAAATATTGGAGACATGGGTAGTAGTTGCCGACCTTGCCTAAGATCAAAGAAAGAAAGGCGGAGAAATGAGAAAGGGCGTTTGGGTAAATACAGAGATTGACTGACTGTCTCTGGTTCAGAATTATTCTGTCTTTGAAGCAGCACATTCTTTTTTGTGTGTGCAAAGGTCTGGAGGGAAAATTACTCACATAATAAAATGACCCAATTTTATGGCAATACCTTCATAAGTCAACCTTATCGCATTGCCAATGGTCCAGGTGCTTGGTCTTTCCTAAGGTTGATGAATGTCAATCATACATCCTAGACCAGAGGCCATTCTTTAAAAAAAAAAAAAGGGACTCCCAAGAAGTGGGCTTTCAGCAGCCAAGAAAAACCCAGTGGGGAAACCCAGAAGGATCGGAGCTAAATTAGGAGCTTGTTTGCATGGAGGGACATAAGAATTTCATTTTTATTTGGCTAGTTTTTTTATTTCCTTCTAGACCATGGCTTTGGAAAAAGTTGTTCCTTATGTAGAATAAATGATTGCATCTGCATGTTTTAATGGACATAATTAAAACCAGATTGGTGCTCTAATTTAGAATTAAGTCCCCTTTGCTTGATGTCAGTAGGGGATGTTAGATGTTGCACAATAATACACATTCTGGTAAAATATATTTTCACTTTTTGCCTCAAATATTATTTCATACTTACTCTTAGGATGTATTTGATTTGCACAGTTTTTACTAGAGCTGTGAGTTTTGGAAACCGACTTATAGCCAGATCAATTTCCTCCACTTAAAGTTTACATACAACATAATAATATTGGCAGTAAAAGTTTTTATTTTAGAATCTGTCTTAGATTCTTTCTGATTTGATTCCTAACATGATTATTTGATTACAAAGACCCTGTAGAGATTTTATTTTTCTGCCCAGTAGCTATTCTCCCTCATTCTATTCACAGCCCCTAGTTTGGCTTTGGGGGAAACAGCCCTCCCTGGATATTGTATTTTGTACAGAGACTATGTATTTTGAATGGAGTCAGTTGAGCAAGTCTAAGCCAATCGACATAGTCTAGCTCCTTGACCACATGGGTTCAGGGGTGCCAGCATGTGACATAATGCATTATTCTCCTGATTATTCACTGCCTCTTCCTGTAAAAGAATTAAACAGCTGTGCTCACTCCTGTGTGACTTGCTTTGGCAAATGGAACATGAGTAGACGAGATGGAAACCACGACTGACTGGAAGTTTTTGGAGCCGTTTCAAGTGTCACTCAAGACTCTATTTTCTCTCTGTCATTACCACTGTAGGTCCTTGTCAAAGGGGCTGTTCCTTCCATCTACATCTCAGTAGGAAGAGGTCATGAGTACAGCTGACCTGCCGATTTACAGCTGACATGCAGCACGAGAGAGGGGAAAAAAAGCATCTTTGCCCTCGAAAGCCAGTGAAACTGGGGGCTTGCTTGTTACTGCAGCATAACCTGGCAAAAGCTGACTAGCAGAGCATGGGAACCCATGAGCCAATGAAAGGGGACAAATTCAGGACAGAGAGGGTTGCTACTCAATTGATTTCCCCTTTACTCTGCACTGAGTGATATGATGTTGGAAAGCTGAAGAAACTATAGCCAGTCCAGGAAGGCTGGGCCAAGCGAGAGCCCTGAGTCAAGATTTATTTGAAATGAATTCTATTTCCTAGTGATGACAGCCAACACATGCCCCTTTTTAAAATTCAGGTTGAGTTTCTTTCCACTTGGAACTGGGAGGTTACTTACTAAGAGACCTAAACAAGAGAAATACATTTCCTTGTTCTAGTAGGTCATTGGGAAGAAAAGATGTTTTCCCCCTTAGTTAAAACATTACCTCAATTAACTAACAGCCTACAGCGGAAAGATCCAATAACTTCTGTGGTCAGATAGGTAGATTTTACTCTGATAGGATCAGAAGTTCATTCTAGGAAAACACTAAACTTCCATGGGCATCAACAGCCTCATTTTTCTTTTCATGGAAAACTCTGAGGAACGTTGAAATCACTCTCTGTCCTTTGCTTTGCATGATGGACTGGTCTGGAAACTTGTGGTAGGGAAATTTAACAAAATAAACTCAACCGTGTTTTATCCAACATAAGTCACCAGTTAAGGAACTTTCACAATACGGTTCACAACACCCAATTGTCCAGTTTTGAAGGTTTGGAGCCATACACATGGTTTGGACTAATGCCGTCTCCTTTTTCACGGGGGAAGAAATTGGTGTGCACCCCCCGTGGGCACTGGGTCAGCTGTGAGATGTATAATTTCGGGAGGAAATGTAATTATTGACTATGGAGAACACTCATTCATAATATTGTAACTGAAGAAGACTGCAGGGCCCGCCCACCTCCCCTGCAAAGGGCTTTGTCGTAACTACTGGACTTGACAGGTTCAGCAGGTACCCAGCCATAGCACAGACTCTACAGAAAGCAATGGGCGTGGCTGTGTTCTAATAAAACTTTACTCATAAACACTGACATTTGAATTTTGTCTTATTTGCAAGTGTCATGAGATATTATTCTTCATTTGGTTTTTGCAACTATTTAAAAATGTAAAACCATTCTTAGCTCAGGAGCCATAGTACCCCAGGTGATGGGCCACAGCTGATCCAGGAGCTGAAGTTTGCTGACCCCTGAATTACTGAGTTCTTTCTTCCTATGCTTTGGCACTGAAGTACGGACATTTTATGCATTATTCACTTAGTTTTCACAAGAATCTAAGGGGTGGGTAAAATTGTTGTGGCCATTGAAGAGATGAGTAAACTGAGGCCCAAGAGGTGGCGCGGCCTGGGGATGGTGGGGCTGAGATCACAACCTTTTGGCCTCATTCCCTCCAACTCACAGGCTGTTAGAAGATGAAACACTGCAGCTTAAAAATAGAAACACTCTTTCTGGGGCTAAGCAATGTAAAGAAATGTTTATAATGCTTCTTTGTTTTCTTGAGAAGATACTTTGCTTTCTCTCATTTCTCTAGCAGCTTTTGTGTTTATCTTTGGCATCAGTAATTTAATCCATGTTTCTATTTCTGCCTTACACGTGACACCAGAAATCCGCCCGTTACAGATTAACACTGAATCCTAGAGGCCCGGGAGACAGGCAACTACCAAATACAAACATCCAAAGGAAGTTTTTCTGCAAAAAACCCCCTCAGGACTGCAAAGCTCATGGGTGCTCCGGATTTAACCCACAGCTTTTAATGTGAAGTTTGTGGGGGGAAGACTCATGGAACCCCTCCGCGCCGGTATACACAATGGTCAGTCTCCAGATACAGCAGGAAATTGATGAGAGTTTTGTGGAATTATGACATATGTGACTTTTGCTGAGCTATGAAGCCTGGAGGGAGGGAGGGAGAAAGAGAAGCAAAGGAAAAACAAAGAAGGAAGAACGAGAGGGAGGGAGGGATGGAGGGAGGCGGGGAGAAGGGAGGGGCAGAAGACGGCAAAACGAGGACAACAGTGAAGCAGATTTCAAAGACCTTCACCTTCACAAGAATTATAACATAGACATTCTCGTTTCTGTTCCCCATCGCAGACGCTATTTCTGGAACATGCTTGGATTTTCAACATCTGTTCAGTTCTAGTAACTAAATGAAAGTGAAAACACAAGCCCCATCTTTGGCAAGTAAACAAGAAACACCTAGAAAGAGGGGGATATATTTTGCTTTGGCAAAACGATAGCGATGGTTTTCTGTTTTGAGGGCCTGCGGATCCATTTATTCCCACTTATAAAAAGTCCCCAAGACTTCCACCTCTTTCAGAGCAGAGAGCTGCCGTTTGGGTCTGAAACACACGAGGAACACAATTTCTTCACTCTCTGGAGGAGGTTCTGAAAAGATAGACTTTGGTGATGTCTCATTTGGAGGCATCTCCTTCAGACCTGCGTGCACTGGCCGAAAACTTTGGCCTTTGCTCTAGAAGATAAAGGCCCGATAGACAGGGAAGCTTGGCCTCTGTCTCTCAGGTACAGACTCTCGGACCGACAGTCTCAGCGGCATTGCAACAAGATGCTCTCAGTTAGTAGAGAACCGGCACTGTCATGCCCACACAGGTGAAAGAAGCAATCAGAGCAGAACAAAGCCGGGGGAGCAGCCTCCTGGTCCCTCAAGGAAGTGTAAGGATGTGCCCATGTTTAGAGTAGACTCTTTCAGCCCCTAAAGGACGACAGATTATAAAAGTGTGTGCACTGGTTTTGCATTTAGTTTGCACTGACTCAATGGGCCTTATGAACACTCATCCGCAGTCATTCCCCAGTGGCCCCTGGTCCCACAAAAAGGTGAAAGAGTCTACAGCAGGCGGATGACCCCGGGAGCATGCAAGAGCGCAGGCTTCCAGGCTGAGATGCGGCAGGCAGAGGATGAGAATGGAATGAGTCTGTCATTGAATGAGTCACTTACATGCTCCTCTGCACCTGTGGGGACTGAATCCTCTTTAATTGACTACAGGGGAGACAAAAACAAAAGCAAGAGTCAGAATGTTACAGAGATCAGGGCGAACAGCCTCCCTGGTGCAATGCCTGGACGTTGCTGATGTGTGTGCCTTGTTCCAAAAGGAACTTGAAGAGAGGAGGTTTACACAAATATAAACAGTATGGTAAGATCATATATGCTATGTATGTTTAGATGCTGCAGTGGGAAAATAAACATCCAGACGCAGCCAGGACACAGACGGAGCAAGGGAAGGGGCCACAACAGAAAACACAAACCACAGCCCGGGCTGTAAGTAACACGTTTATCGACATTTTTCAGTAGCCGATGGAAAGAGGGAACTATGAGCGATCACACAATATGTGGGCACTGTTAGGTAAAAACAAATGAGCTGCTCCGGAAAATTCTGGTAGCAGGACCAGAGGCATTCGTCCCATGGTCCTCGGAGAGCAAGTGGACACTAATAAGCAGGGTCCTCAGCCTGGTGCTGACCGTAGCACAGTCCCGCGTCAGAAGCTGCTTCTTATATCAGCCCTCAGGTGGGGTCAAGTTCACCATGTCCAGGCTCTGTTCAGTTAAAACACATCAGTGGAGGGGTAGTGGGCTGGGGCCCAACACATCCAAGTTCAAACACTGTTACTCCCTCTCCTGCCCCAAATAGGAGAGCAATTACCCCAATTCTCTTAAAAGCCGATGCCATGGTCATTTTAACAGTCCCAAGCTCCAGCCCTGAACCTCATCTCTGCATCCATCCCATAGCCATTCTTAAACTTTTTTGGGGGGTGGGGGCTGTTGTTTGCAGACCATTTTGAGATTCATTTGATGGATCGGGACTGTCCTCCCAGACAATGAACATGAACAAAATATTTTGCAAATTATTTCAGGGTGTTCGTAGACTCTCCTGTCTTCTCTTAGATTCTAGGTTAAGAACTCTTCCCTATTTCTATTTAGTTCTAAGTCCTGCTTTTATCTTTACCTTAAAAACATCCAATGGGAGGGGAGAAGGGAACTGACATGTACAAGTACATCTTTTACACTTTGCACTTTGTACATGTTTTCTCACTTAATGTAGCCCCAAGTGGTAAGTATGGTGGTCCTTATTTACTCAGCAAGAAATGGAGGCACAGGGGGTGAAGTCAGTTGTCTGAGGTGGTCGCTAAAAGGCGGTGGAAATGGTTCTTAGGGCCAAGTTTTCCTTCTGCTGTAATGACTTCCAGGATCAGAAACACATTTTTTTTTTTGGTGGGGTGGGGCACGTGTGACTGGGTGAGCTTCTTTCTCCATTACCAGACTTGCTTTCTCTCCAGATGAGATCTTTTCTGTGGATTATTTATTTCCACTGATATTCTTTTCATACTGACACTTACTTGGGCACAAACACGTCCTTAAAAAGAAGTGTGGGTTTTCTGGAAGCTTCTGATTATTAAGAAATCCCAGAACATCTGGAAGTGTAGCTTTCTTGGAATTAGGCCCATTCTCCTGGAGACCAGTTATATGCTATTTAATATTATGACCAGGTAAAGAATGAGACACTATTTTGAAAGGCAGGCCTCTTTAAACTTGACCTGCAAAAGTTTCAAGGGCCAATATCCTGTCGACTTTAGGCTGAGAAAATCCTCCCACCATTTCAGAATAGCAATTTTAGGTTTCCACACCTCCCTCCTGTCCCAGCTGGTTGTAATGGGACTCATGTGTGTGTCTTTGGTTTCCTGTGTCTGGGAAGTTTCTGGCCATCGACTGCTTGTTGTATCCCAGATGACCCTGGGGACTTGGGGTAGGTGACGGCAACAAGCAGAAGGGACTGCTTCTGGACACTGCCGTTCCTGTGACCTTCATGGTTTCAGACTTCCAGACCTCTCCGATGTTTCAAAAATTGGCATTAGAAATATTGTCTGTGCCAAGAGAACTTGCTATTTCATATTTTAAAATTATACTCTGCAGCAAAACATTCCTTATTTGGGGATTTAGTCCAATGGAGCATTTCTCAAACTTTGACAGTTTTCACCATTTTCGTGATTTTTTACCTACCCGTGTACCACCTGTATTTGCTTGATACTTTTCTTTAAATTGACTACTTCTTAATTTAAATGAACACATTTTAAAAGAAAACCTCATTCTAGTGACTGTAATATCCACATCCTGGCCATAAGTAGAAGTAGGCATGAAACAGCTCCAGTAACTAAAACAAAAACACTCATTAATTCTAATTATTATAAAGTCCTTGTTAAAAGGGAGATTAGCAACTGTTAGCACAGTGAGAGCTGCCTGTTAACGTCAAGAAGAGACTTGCTTCTGGAAGGCATCAGAGGGATTGGAGTTAGAAAAGGAGATAATTTCACACGGTGCGACCGATTACATTTTAGGACAGTGTCCAAGAACCCCGCAGAATCATTTTGTACTTTTTGGTACGTTTGCCCACTGACCTGGGTGTCATCTTTATGGCGGCAGAGGCTGAAATACCCAGTTAGAAAAAGGACTCAAATATGGGTAACGGAGGCCCGGTTCCTGTTTTCGTTTAGTGTCTGGCACACGTTCAGAGAGAATCTGCTCAGACCCCAAGACTGGAGCATCTTGGACTACGGGTTAGTGGCTGGAAATGTTAGCATTTTCTAGTGCTTCTCTCTCTTTTTCAAAAATTTTACGAGAATGACTTAATAACTACAACTTAATTTAAGGAAAAGAAAACAAAACCTCCCTTTCGTTTGCCACGAGATTGTAAACTGCGAGAAGTCAGCAGTCTGCCCACTGCCGTCTTTTTGATGCCAATGACTTCACACAAAGTATTTAGCACAGAGAAACTGATTAAAAATACTCTCACACGAGTGACTCTTCCCCATGTTACTTCCGGATAAAGGCATTTTTTTCTGAGTGGGGAAAAGAAGGCAAGATGTGATTTCATTTTGGGATGTACTTTTTAGTTTCTCTTAACGTTATTTTTATAAGCTACTAAAGAAACAAAGCCAGATAATATTGAAAAAAAGTCAAACTACAATAAATGGAATTCTCTTATTAGGGACGTAAGTGTCAAGTAGCTCTGCCTTTTATTTGCAAGGGGGAAAACTTAAATTTCATAGACAAACCCGCACACCCCTGACAGTTCCCAAAGGTAAGAGAGATAAAGACCTCGAGGCTGAGTAGCTTGGACGCCTCGCCCAACTGGACGGTACAGAGAGATAAAGAAGGTGGACCTGGTCAGTGTCTGCCCCTCCTGAGCACACACACCAGGTGCATGACACCCAGGAACGGCGGCTCACCGTGTCCACGGGCCACTTTTGTGCCTAGCGCCGTGCTGTTTCATTTACCCCTTGCTTCATCTCCAGGAGGTAGGTGCCATTAGTATTTGCATTTTACACTGTGGGAAACTGGGGCTCATCCATCCCAGAGGACTGGGACTCAAAGTCAGATCTAACACCAGACTTATGACTCTGATATAAGGGTTCCTCAAGCATCTGCCCCTTGCTGACCACCTGTGCGGTTTTTGCCATGTAGTGTGTGCCGTCTGCGGTGGCCATGGGAGCGTGGCGCTCAGATTCCCCCTTGGGCTGTCATGCCTTCAGAATCCAGGACGGCATGGCGATGCTGAGGTCAGTGCTCCCCTTGGCTGCGCCCAGTCCAGGCCTGGGCCATTTCTGCCCAATTCAGGACTCCAGGAACAGGCCGCATCTGTTCTGGGACTCCCTCCGGCTCACCCCACACTTGGGCTGAGGGACCTTTTCTCTCTTTCTTCCCTCCCTCCGGTCACAGGTCGCAGCTGACAGGTGACAGGCCACAGGTGTCAGACTGGCCCTGCGGTGGGCAGGCTCTCTCTACCTCCTCCTGCCCCTCCCCTTTGTCCCTCACACTCATTCCCCTCCAGCAAATGTCTGCACATCAGTTCCGTCTCGGAGTCGGCTTTGGCAGGACCCAAGTTTACCACCACTTCCTTAACATCAGTACCATTATTTACGTAATGCTTTCGTTTCAGTTGGGTTACTTTTGAAACATACAGTCTCCCCCTGAATAAAATATACGTCAAATCAAGCTTAATGTGCCAGTTCTATTTTGCCTAAAACACTTTACATTTAAACATATTTAAATAAAACCCAAACTGTTTGCATATGGGTCACCTAACTCATCTCCCTTGCCACGCACATATGTATGTTACTCACTGGAAGACAGTCCCCTACACCAGACTGCTGATAAAAGATTTTTAAAAATAAGTTATCGGTGGTTGGTGAGGGGAGAGGATGGACCCGAACGCCAAACGACGTCATCCGATGTTTTCACTGTGTTGGAATTTGTTTCTGGACAGAAACGGAGAAGGAAGAATTCCATACAGCAGGGAAGCACATGGGGACGATGTCGGAAGTCCCACTGGATTCTGGACCAGAGAATAAAACTACCTCTGCCTTGGCGTCTGTTTTTACCACCTGCCCAGCCCTGCAGGCTAAGAGGCATGGAATTTGATGAAATAGCTAAATTCAATTTTCCCAGCTCTACGAATTGCACTCCACCACCCACCTCACCCACGGCGTCTTGCTCATCTTTTGGCCACATTGAAAACAGGCCTGAGTCGGGTTTTCAGGCCTGTGGCTGCTGGGGTTTACTCAGCCAGGATGGTCAAGCAACAGCTCTCAGAATTACTCAGCCCCACCCAAACCATTTCCTTGCACCACTCCTTAATTCTAGAGAGGAAAGAAAAAAATCAGACTGGGGTTTGGATTTTCCTATCACAGAGCGTGGCGTGTGCTGGCCCCGGTGGGAAGCTGGTGGACGCCCTGGTTTTTGCAAAACAGCAACGAAACCTGGTGCTTCTAGTGACTGATTATATCTGGCTGGGGAAACAGAGAGCCCAGCGCTCAGGGGAAACCAGGCGGAAGAAATAATAAATGACTTTCGAAAGAAAGTGAAATCATGCAATACCACAGCCCTTTGTCACGAAGCAGAATAATTCCAAGAATGAAAAGTTCTGGTTGCTCATTTCCCTTCCTTTCCCATGAAACACATGTTTGTACCATTTCACCCTTCCCAGGAGTAAATCCGTAAGTCAACTCAATGGCTCGTTGAGTCATTCTGGGAGGAGAAAAAGAAACTCCATGCGTTGTTGAATTCACAGACTGGCTCAATAGAAATCAGTGCTCAAGTCATCCCAAGTACTCTCCACGTCCTGAGAATACGACTTACCTTTTTCCAGAACAGTTTGCTCAGAGGCAGGGAGGGGGGTCCCCCCTTTGGCTTGGCACCTTCCTTTGGCGTTTCTGTGGATGTAGGATTCTTGGCAGCCCCTTGGGTCTCCCGGGGCACAAAGTTGCCTTTGTCTGACTTGAGGTCTGCTGTGGTGGTGGGTGAATTTTCAGCACCCTATCGAGTTAAAGAAAATCCAAATGATCTCCAGATTTTCAAAGTCAAAGATCTGCCTTTTATAAACATAGGTTGGGGGGGGTGTGTGTTGATTTTATTCTTTGAACTCTTCCGTATTTTCCACACATTGCTACCGTGACTGTAGATCAGTGTTAAAAATCTTGAAAAAAGTCAAGATAGTTTTCTTTTTGGAGACAATATCTACAGGACATTATTTATTGTGCTTATGTAAGTAAGTCATGAGGGATCGAGGTGATTGGCAGAGGCTGTTAGAATGTTAGTTACTATGATAGAGGCCACCGGTCTTTGGTGGCCTGGGGTGTGCTTTCTTCAGTAAAATCGGTGGGAGCACACACCTCCACGGCATGACGTATGGTTGTACTAACCCAACTTCGCAATTAAAGAAGGGTTAAAATAAATGAGATTGAAAGTGTAAGTTCTCCAATTCTACCACCCCTCACACTCCCCTTTGGAGGTCACAGATGGAGGCTCTAAGTAAGTATCAGACAGCTGGACGGGGGCTCCTGGCAGGGTCTGCAGCTGGGAGAGACCCACAAACCCCATTTCTTCATGTTTAGGTGTAGCCTCTATCTCTAAATTAGGTGTAATTGAATACATTGTAGTTGAATTGAAACTTTAAATGTTATTCATTCAACCCCTATTTTCTCTCTCTCTTCCCTTCCCCCTCCCCCTTCTCTCTTCCTCTCTCTCCCCCTCTCTTTCTCCCCCCTTCCTCTCTCTCTTTCTCTCTCCCTCTCCTCTGCTGAGTGGTCACACTGAGGTCAACTCCAGGACATTTGGCTTCCGCAGGGACTGGGCTCTTCCTTCCCACACTCTGCCTTCTCCTGAGTCCGAGATAAAGAATGAGTCGGGATAATGATAGTGTCCATTTACCCCGACACAAGTGAATGCTGGCACTACAGATTTTAACACTCAGTTCCTCTGCCTCAACCTCTTTATCTTCAGCATCTTCATTTTATGATTTTTGCTCCGGGAGCCTGTGACATAAAGCCTTTCAATTCCAGGGATGTCAGAGCATTGACTACATTTTCTGACAAGAAAAAAAATCCAGCAGTAAAACTGGGGTGCGGAAAATGCAGGAAGTTTTGTAGTGTTTCTGATGTTGGGAAGAGACGCAGACACCATCTGGTCCAGTGCCCACGTTCTCATAGATGGGGAACTTGAGGTCCATGATCTGCCCAACGTTAAAGGGTGCAGCCAGCCTCAGGTCTTGGGCAACTAGCTGGCATACTCTCTACATAACACGTCACCTCTCCAACAAAGGGTGGTTTGCAAATAACATGAATTTGACCATTTGGAGCCATATGCTCTGTTTTTTGTGCTTTTTGATAGTAAGAGGGAGACATTCGAGAACTTCAGAATGTGGGGGCTTTTTGTTATGAAGCCTTCACGTGGCTTTCACTGAATGGGCTGAGCACAGCGCCCAGGAAGCCAGGAGCTGGACAGGGTACCACAGCACCTAAAGCATCAGTTACCAAGCAACAGACTGGAGATCAAAACAGGGTGGGGTCATTAAGCAATCCAGCATCTCCTGTAATGACACCAGCAGGATTGATGATTGACTTCATCAACCAAACCCTTTCTTAGAAATGGAAATGAGGTCAGCCCCCTCGGGAAGACCCAAGAGGAGAAAGGGGCATTTCCAGGCACGGCAAAGACACCCTAAAACAATGCCCAGCCCTGTGTGCGCGTTGCCATCCAGAGTTTGGGGTGGGGGGCAAGCGAGAAAGTTTGTTTCTGAGGCACCAAGGCAAAAGGGTTCACATTCAGCCAGGGGAAAGCTGACACCCTTATGCATTATAACAATAAAGTTATTTCAGTTATTAACTCCAGGCTTATTCACTTTTTTATAGGCAGGGAAATTGAGACAGAGAGAAATGAACCCAGGCATTAACCAGAATTGGTGGCCATTATATTTTTTTTAAGAGTGAAACTAGAAGATAATATTTCATTCTTGAATTTGTTTTGGGATTTCTTCTTTTCTGTCCTAGGTTTCAATAAAAACAAGAAGCATGAGAATCACATCTCCTATAATCATGCACAGGGCTCATTGATAGAATATGGTTGGTCAGCTTCAATGGTCCTATTTTTCCACCTTTTTGGGCAACAGGATAATAAAATGGAAAGAAATAAACTCTCCTAGACATGGAGGTAAGAGCCAGTGAGAGCTATCGACCTGCTGCATCATTGAGAATTAGGAACATTTGGGAATTGCCCCCTTTTCCATAAAAAAATAGATTAAGTGTAACTCAGGGCAAAACCCAGAAGTTCTTGTGTCTGTATTACAGAATCTCAGAGCTGGACACTTCCTCTCCACCTTCTCAAGTAGCTTCAGAATCCTGTCCTACCCGAACATGCAAATCAGTGGGCAGGATGTGAGGACAATGGTTTGGGGAAGTCCTAGGGCTCTTGAACTTGGGTGGTCCACTGAAGGGGGAGGGGAGAGACTCCGGGCATGAAATGAACGTCATCATGAATGCAGGTCTGGGGGAGGGGGCAGTCATGTTACACTTCCGAGGCCCCCTGCTCACCGAATCTCCGAGAGGCAGTTCAGCTCCATTCCCTGTGTGAGATCACGGTGTCCCTCCAGCTGTTACCAAAACGTCTCCCCCACACCGTAGTAACACTACTTCTTAACTTTCTTTAATCGAAATATCTGTCACTTACCCCTTTCTTTCTTTACAGAACAAAAGAAGCTTGTAGGGATATGGAAGGGTGGCTTCCTAACACATTTATGCAAATACAGATTCACTCATGAGAATTTCCTGTGGAGCTTTCATTTGCATACACCATTCTGGGACTGTGAATCCAGCTGGGGAATTTTTTAGTAGGTTTGTTCAACTTATTGGAGAATGACTGATATTTTAGCCGCATTTCTAAGCCCACTGGCCCAGTTCAAGAGTCCTTCTAATGGATGGTTTCAGACAAACATGGGTGTCTTCACAGACATTAGACCAGTGAAATCTCCCAAAATGATTGCTAAGGGTGCGGAGACAGAACTTGTTCTGCCCATTCATTGTTCCGTTCTGCCTGGGTTTTTCTGTGGATTCAGTCTAAGCTTTAGTTAGTGCTGGTAATGGATAGAACAGACCCCAGAAAGACAAAATTGTTATCTTGAGGTTAGAAGAGTATTTCCCAATGTGTAGAAAGCATACCATTGATTGTATCGAGGTGATTTTATGTTGCACAGAGATAGGACATAAAATGATGTTCAAATAGTGAAAATACTTTTCCTTTTTCGACTCTCATTTAACCCTTCCAAGAACATCTGGGGGAAATTCTTGGTCTGGGGGCTGGTACATCTTTAACGTTGCTCTACGGATGGCTAACTGCCTTCCAATAAAACTAGAAAAGGTATTTGACTTGGAGCTTAACACAAACCAGGTAACTAGCATGAAAGGTCTTTTTTTTATTAGCTATATTAATAGTTGCCTTCCTCTTAAGACGATTCTGCTTTTCTATGTATAATGTACTATAAAGTCTCTTGTAAAGACACCTTTCAGTCAGAATGGGCCAACGGCAATATAAAAAAATGAAGTAAATAATAGTATATATGACAATAATGATGAAGGCGGCATACATACTTTCGACATTTGGGAAATACTGGGTTAGAAGAATAATTTCAGAACCCTGGTCCACACACTGGGAAGAAACTAGTCTGAGATGTTTATAACTATGGAGACTTTTAAAAGCATTCACTTAAATTTGATTTGCAGATTCTCAAACCCCCCTTTAACGATCCCAACCACCCAAGGCTCTCACTTCAGGGAGTAGAGCTAGGTCAATATGGAATGGCATGGGCGTCATGTAGTGGAGACCAGGGTTCTTTTTTTTCCCCCTCTTAGCTTAACAAAATACAGACCTTATGCCTAAAGAACTTTCTAAAGGTGAGTCCTAGCCTGGGGCTATGCAGGTGCTTTTCCTTGGTGCCTTTTGCTCGGATCTGGATCTCAGATGCCTTCTGCCCAGCTTGTCCATCACAGACACTTCCTGCTTTGCATGCCTTTTGGGCAACAGCAGTCACAGCTCAGAACTTTGTTTTTAAACAAAATCCATTCCCCCCCCCAATTGTTTTGAAGTGCCTTAGAATAGTTTGACAATTAGCTGCTGGTATATCACCACCCTCCACGCCCCCAACCCTGAGACATCACGTGAACATTTTTTGAAACTCCCAGATGATCTGTGCAAAGCACATGCTCACAGTTCATTTCAGGTACATGTGGCAACAGGGTGACCTAGTTAAATGACCCAGATTAACACAACTCTATTTGCTACAGACAATTCAGGACGTTGAAACTCTGTCTACATGACATAAACTATCTGATGAAAAATCTAAAAAGTCAAAAAGACAATAGAGTCCCTGCTCAGTAGTTTTCAGTATCTAATCGGTACTGTCACGTGGGGAAGAAACAATAATTGAAGACAAATGATTTAGTTTTGCATTGTAAAGTCAGCACAAATTCTTCCGCTGAGTGACTTTCATCCCCCACATGAACCTCCTTTTATTCAGTGTGAGAAACTTCAGGGAAGCAGCGTCACCCACAAACATTTCAGCTCACTTCTAGATGAGCAGATCTCCCAGGCAAAAGAAGTTTCTAGCATGAGCCAGTCTACTGAGCCAAAGTGGGGAGAGATTAGACGGAAATAGCCCAGCTACAACCATTGAGAATTATTGACTCAGGTTGCAAACGGGCAGGGAATTTTCTGTGGGATGTTTAGTGTGTTGAAAATTCCCCCGGGGCCAAATGGAAAGATGGACAAATGGTAGAGACATTTCAAAAGTATGATTCCAAGAATTCAGTAGAAAAGATGCTAAAAAGGGCAAGATAGGACAGCCAGGGCTATAGCGGTCTGTCTGTGGGGGTCGTGGACAACCTGCATTCACAGAACCCGATCTGGAGACCCAGCTCCACCAGCGGGGACCCCATAGCTCTCTGCGCAGGACAATGAGATTTTATCAGCTCAATCCATTCTGTTGGGACCCCATTCTGGGTAGAGAAAGAGTCCTGGTGTGTGAGCCCCTGAAGAAAGAGCATCGGGCTGCTTGGGAAGTCACAAAACATACCCACCTACCCCACAATTTGTAGCCTCATGTGCTCTGTGACCTCAAAGAATGCAAAACACAGACCCGAAAGAGAAACACTGGACCCAAACAGTCATTGAACTTGACCCTGGTTACCTTACAGCAGCCGAATAATTTTATAGGAAAACACATGTATCAGAAACTCCTGTGATGCCTCTTTCTTCAATAAAAGAGAAAAAATTCTAGAAGAAGCAGTCAACACCAGACATATAGATCACGGCGCAGCCGGTCTTGCAGGGGTCATAGAAAGAGGGGTCGTCTGCATTTGAATAGAGCTCCATTGTTTACCAGATATTGTCCGACTTTCATCCAGCCTGGACTGGGGAGATGGAATTTTTTGCTGTCACCTTTTATAGATGTGGAGGTTTGGGTTTGGACAGGTTAGGGTTACACAGCTAAGGAGCAGCAGGACCGGAGCTCAAAGGCAGGTCTCCTAGGACCCTTTTAGCAGCTTAGCCCCTTCAAACATGGGCAGCGGATGAAGCGGGCGGACCAAGCCCCTTCTTGGGTCCCAGCGTCTTTCAAAGCACTTTTGGTTATCAAAAGAAGGACGCCGGACACTCAGCTGTCACCAAGCTAAACCTTAAACCACGGGATCCACTAGACATAATACATTTTGTCAAGGGTAGACAGAAAACACCTTTAGAAAGTAGTCATCCCGAACAAAATTCATCTTGAGGGCAACTGGCTGAACTTCCAGGATGACGGTGAACAAACCCAACCTGTCTGGGGCTCTCTGACACCTCTGTGTGGTCCTTCATCTGGTGCGTCCCCTGGGGGCTAGGTCATTCGTCACATAATTGCCCTTGCAGTGGAGAGTTATCTTTTTCAAGTGACATGAAGAACATTGTATTTGAAAATAGACAAACAAAAATACAGCAGCCTTTACTTTTACCTTCAATTGAGTCTTATCTCTTCCTCATTTCCACAAGTTAATTTTTCATGCTATTCCCTGGATTGCTCTCTATACGTCTACAGGACTACGATGCTATATAACTGTTAGTATTCTCCTCTTATTTTATACGAGAAATTGGTTACAGGGACACTATTTTCTCAGAATGGGCATACATCGCAAACTTCCCACGACCATTTTTATTAAAATACCATTAGCATAAATGAAACATTTTAAAGGCAATCTAACAGTACTATTGAATTGCTAACCCTGTATATATGTGGTATGTACACACACACACACACACACACACACACAATTCCAGAAACAGTGAAGCAGAAACAATGAAACCATTTCAAATCCAATTCTATACACAAACCCAAACATAAATAAACGTCAATCGACCTACCATGTCTTCCAGATCTTTTTTTGTTTCAGCTTTGTTAGGTGAAACCTTAAAAGTTTGAGAAAATCAAATGTTAAAAATCATAGCTCTTCAGGGAGATTTTATTTCACAGATACACAATTTTTAGGCTGACCCAGCTCACTATACAGGTAAAGAATGTAAACAGAAGTTTTTTTAGTATAGCAGAAACCTGCAGACTTCTGGTATACCTAGGCATACAAAAGTTAACAAAAATCAATGTTTTATAATGAAATGCATCAGATTTCATACAATCACCAAGAATTTGACCACATTCCAAAATTTTCTCCTGGAAGGCCACAGACTTTTCATTGATTCTGCCACAAATCCAAACATAGGCCCAAGCCTTTGGTGCTTGTAACAATCCTTTTGTTTTATTTGGGCTTATCTTCGGAAGTTGGCCTTTGGAAACAGCTCAAACATGCTTGGAGCTGCCTGCTTAATGACAATTTCATTCATCAGCCCTTTTCCAGGTGTCTGGCCTGGGTCAGGCCACGGGCTCTGCCTCAAGAAGTCAGAGATGAGACATACGAGACATAGGGCTCTGCCTCCAGCCAATTTAAATGGCAGACTGAGTTGGAACAAGACGGGAAGTGGTTTCTAGTTTTATTTGCCATGTGAGTGTCTAAACTGCTTTGATAGGTTAGTAACTCGAGGTGCAACGACCATCCAATTACAATACGGTTCCACTATGACCCGGCTCACATTCCAGAGTCTGGGCGCCTTGTGGTTCCCATTTCTGAGTCTCCCTCATGAAAAGCCTGGTAGAACACAGTTTCCTTGCAATACACATCTTATCACTGTTCTCCAATGTCCTGGCTGTGTCACTCAGAGCAATGACACACAAGTGTGCATTATTCTTTTTAAATGTTTCTTTTATTGACTTGAGAGAGAGAGAGAGAGAGATGGATTTGTTGTTCCACTGATTTATGCACTCATTGGTTGTTTCTTGTAACGTGCCCTCAACTTGGGATCAAACTCACAACCTTGGCCCCACAGCCTTGAATATAGGATGACACTCCAACCAACTGAGCTACCTGGCCAGGAAGTGGGCATCCTTCTTAGACTAGCAAAACTTTTGAGCAATAGAATCGAGAGAAAAAGGATGGAAACAACTTACCAGTGTTTTGAAGAAGCTCATGATGGAGTTATTATTCTCAGTTATATCTGTTGCCTGGGGGTCCCCCTTGGCAATCTCCTGGTTTTCGGGGTCCCCGGTGATAGAGCAACTCGCAGGTGTGACTTCCTGTCCCTCTTCTTTGCCTTCAACTATGTCCTAGGAGCAAAATAAAGTTTTCACAGTTGCAACTTGCTGAATGTAGACTCTCAAAGTAATATTTTTGCCTCCCAGCCCCTTTCTCCCTGGCCCCCTAATTCCAGCCATACTTCATCCGCCCACGGCGTGTAGAACAATCAGGAGCTTATGAGAGTCACTCTTCCTTCCCCTCCCCCTCTTTCTAACATATTCAGCATTTGCTGTTAGTTGGAGGGACATTGTTTGGAGCCCAAGGGTAACAAACAGCCCTGCATGTCAAATTCCAAACAAAAACCCCTTTCTCCCGATTCTGCAAAGAGGTTGTATATGTCTCCAAATCCAGCGATTTTCAACAGACGTGCAGCAAGAATTTTTAAAACCTGTACTACCTGACAATCAAGTCAGATGCACTGACCTCTTTTCCCTTAGATTGTCGTCAAAAAAAGGCAACAGCCAACGCAGTGATAGCCGTCCACTGTGAATGTTATCAAAATTACACCTATCTGTTTTGTCAGATTGGCAAGAAAATAGAATAGATATTTTTGGTGCGCCATAGAAGTTTAGTAATCAGTTTATGTGTGCCATGAGATGAAAAAGGTTGAAAATCACCGCGTCAGTCTGACGATCCCTGAGATGTGTCTGTTTGAGTTTTCGCAATCTATATAGTGGTGAATCCTATCAACTAAAAAAAGTACTCATATTTTATTTTTAAATTATCATTATTGTTTTTAATCCTCACCTGAAGATACGTTTGCTGGTTTCAGAGAGAGAGGAAGGGGGAGAGAGAGAGAAATACCCATCGGTTGTCCCCCCCATACACGTCCCAACCTGAAACCCAGGCAAGTGCGCTGACCTGGAACGGAACCTGCAACTGTTTGGAGGATGGGACGATGCTCTCATCAACTGAGCAACCCAGCCAGGCAAGTGCTTATGTTTTAAAATAATAATAATGGCGTCAAGATCTGGATGTTTGTTGGTGCCTGGAAGGTGATGTAGGGACTGAGTTTCCCCTCCCCCCAGTGAGACAGATGCATTCCAAATCTGTTCCAGCTCATCTCCACTCCTATGACCCTGGGTCATGACCATCTCTCCACCCCATGGCTGCAATGTCCCCCTCCTACCCCCAACCTCCACCCTGTCTACCTGGACTCTTGGGCCCTCTAATTCATTATTAACTCTGCAGAGCCCACCCCCAAAGGCTTACGATGGCCCATGAAGCCAGGGTCTCCCCTGTCTCGCATGGCCCGGCCCTTGTCGACATCTCTAGGCCGTGCGGCTCTGTCCCCTGCACTCCACACTCTCTGGCCACCTCCCTTCGAGTTTCTCAAATGTACTGTGAGCTACTTCCACCCTCAAGGCTTTCAGTCTGGAACATTCTTCCCCTCTGTCTGCCCATGGGTAAGCTCTACACGTCCTTCAGGTCTTAGGTCTCTCCTCTCCTCCCCTCACTGTCGTCCCTAAGACTGTCCCTGCCCCTTTTCCGTCTTAGCCATTACAACATTTTTCTTTATCTGCTTGACTATCTGCCCCTTCCTTCCCACCCCCGCTAAACCGGAAGCTCAGCAAAGACAGGGGTCATGTTGACTTTGGCGCCGCTGTTCCTTTAGTATCTGGGACAGGGAGGCCTATGGCCGGCACTCAGTAAATAGGCACCATTTGGCTACTTAATAGATGAACGGATAGAAATAAATTTTATGTAAATGGCATGGTGCTCTCTGTATCAACTCATTTCTCCTACGTAGTGAAGTAGCACAGACACCTTCCCGTTGCAACACAGATCCGCATTGGCCTTCCTGGCTCACACGGTGCGCCACTGTCCAGCTGTGACATCATTGCCCAGTGTCCTCATTGATGGGCACTTACAGTACTTATGGTCTTATAGCTAGGATGTTATAAATCAATAAATCAGTGTTTTTAACCAATCACGTGTTTCTATATTTCTTTTGGGTAAATTTCCAGAAGTGACATTGCTATGTCTAGAAGTATGCAGATTTTATAACCCTATCAATATTTTCATGCAAAAAAGAACAAGAGCAGGATTTCACTGGGAAGGTCCTCGAGGTACGACGTCGGATCTGAAGAGCTGCTGGGTTCATCGGGAGGGGTGGCAGGTGGCACGTGAAACACATCCAGGGCAGGCAGTCGAGTGCCTGGGGACTGTGAACTTGGCAGTGGGCTGCTGGCTGGAGGTGGGGAACGTGAGAGAGAGCTGACTCTCCGAATCTCCTCCAAGTACGAATAAACCAGTAAATGTACCACTCATGAAGCTTGCAAAGGAGAATCTAAGGAAGACAAGGGAATGGGCTTCCTTAAGAAGCTGTGTGTGGGGGTGTGTGGGAAGGCATCAATTCTAGAAGGTCCCCAACCCCTAGGCTGGGTCAGCGGCTCTGACCTGCTCTGGTCTCATAGCTCGTAGGCCTCAGGGAATGGAAGAGTCTGTGCCTAGGTCGCCCTGCTCCCAGCCTGGGTGCTTCCTAAGATGGGACGAGAGGCCATGATTCTTCCCTGATCCCCAGGCTAAACACAAGGGAACGTTCATTGAACTTCTTGGAAATAATATGGAAAACAGTAAAGTCAACCGAAAAGGAAATGAATCAGTATAATGTCAGGTAAGCTGCACGGATGAGGCTGGGTCTGCATGGCCCAGGTTGGGTCCACAGGGATTGGGTTTGGTTTGCACGGACCATGTTGGGTTTGCATGGACCAGGTGGCCACCAGGGAAAATCTGCCAGGATGGGTCTCCTCTGAGCAAGGGAGAGGGGACCCTCAGTACTTCTTCACTGAGGAAAGGAACTCTGACTTGAGGGGACGCAGCTCCATAGAACTCCAGGAACAGAGGAGCCCTCCAGCTGCCCCATTTGCCGTGGGGCACCTTCCCAGCCATCTGAGGATGCCAGAGACCTCTGTCCCCTGCCTCCCCAGGGTACCAATGTCTCAGGACTCGGATGGCAAATGCGGGGTGACCACACCGGCTGGGTGCAAAGAGGTGGTTTGTTTCCCTGGGGCTGTGTCTTAGTTAGAGTTTTATTTTTTTTTCAATTTGATACTGAGCTTGAACTTGATTCTTCTCTTGAAATACTGTTTTTCTTTTCGGACTGCCTTTTAAAAAAAGAACACAATACTTCCACTTCCAGGAAGACAGAGCATACATACTTTTCTTCACTCTTCCACTCACTGCGGTGGAAAATTCCCAACATTGGGTAGAAAACAGATGCAGAGGACTCTGCAAGCTGGACAGGGGCTGACAGACCAGCCGGGAACTCGAGGAACAACACGGTGGTAAATTCTCGGATTTCCTTCTTGCCTCGTATGTTCTAGACTTGGGGTTGAAGAGGCTGGTGAGTTGAAAATACCAACAGGACCGAAAAAACCCCAAAATCTTTTAAAAAACCTGCTCTCTACTAAAGGGTCTGCCTGGCAACACAAACTTTCAGACGGTAACTCTTGGCTTCAGCCAAACACCAACCATGTGATTATACACCATAAGGTCAATATTAAAACATTTTTTTAAACATTAAAAAAAAGATTTTATTTATCTTTAGAGAGGAAGGGAAGGAGAGAGGAAGAGAATATCAATGTATGGTTGCCTCTCATGGGTCCCCTGCTGGGAACTGACCTGCAACCCAGGCATGTGCCTTGACTGCGAATTGAACTGCGATTCTCTGGTTCACAGGCCTGCACTCAATCCACTGAGCTACACCAGCCAGGGCAAAGATGGTTTAAAAAAGACATTAAAGAGTAGTGCTGGCAGAGTAAGGATGAAGACCCCTTAAAAAGTGTGAAATAGGTAAGTAAAGCAGCACGTGGCTTTGATATCAACATGTGAGATTGACCTATGACCACATGACGGAATATTTTGCATTCACGAGTTTGTTAGAGAATTTATAATGAGGAGGAAAAGGTCCATGGTAATAAGAAAAATGATCACATTTAATATGTCAGGCTTAATGCTATGCTGGTTAAGAAGATCTCATTTAATTCTTAGAAGGATCCCATGGAGTATGTACTATTTGTCATTTCACTTTTACTCATGAATAAATCGATGCATGAGATGAATAAATCACTTGCCTACGGTCACAGAGTGGAGCTGGGATTTGATCCCAATCCCAAATGATTTCAGAGGCAAAAAGCTTTGTTAAAGCACCTACTGTGTGGCCTCAAATCACCTCTCTTCCTTTAGCTGTTTACTTAAATGGTAAACAGGACTTCGGTCCTGTTGGTATTTTTGACTCGCCAGCCTATATATTCTCTCACTAAGGGTTTTCCTATTTTAATTTCCTTGTCTCCATTCCTTTCCCCTGCGATATACTTTTCCTACTTTTCACCATCCATATACAACACATTTTACCCAAAGACATATGGGAATTGAGTGCATGATAAAGATGACACCTCAAATCTATCAAAGGGAAGAAGGACTTTTGAATAAATGACAACAGGGTGGCCCTCTGGAAAAAAAATAACTTCTTGTCATCACTCATCTCTATACCAGGATAAAAGCCAAAGGAATAAAAATACTAGAAGAAAACATGGGAAAATATTTTATAATTTTGGATTGAGAAGACTCTTGTAATTTGACTCAAAACCCAGAAGTTACAGAAAGAAAGACTGAAAGTGAAAACATCCAGATATTTGGAAACATTCAGTGGGGAGTCTGGGGCAGGACCCCGGCAGCCCCAGACGATGCTGATTGGGGTGCACATTAGTTCAGGCCCGAGGAAGGGCTGACAGTTTGGCCTTATCGACTAAAACCGACAGAAAGACTACGTTCTTTGACCCAGCAGTTTCACTTCCAAGAGTTCAGGCTAAACCTCAACTCACACACGTGGGAAATAACAAACAGACGAGGGGATTCATCTGCAGTGAGAGCACAGCAAGTGCCTGGGAGCCAGTCCAGGGTCATCAATAAGGTTCTGGTTAAGTTAGTGATGGTACATCCATTCAAAGGAAAACTACGTGAGCGTTGCCAGATGAGGAAGCTGTACAGCTTCAGAAAGTAGGGGTCTCTCTGGACAGAAATGGAG